TGTGTGTGTGTGTGTGTGTGTGTGTGTGTGTGTGTGTGTGTGTGTGTGTGTGTGTGTGTGTGTGTGTGTATAACATCACCCTCCATATTTCCTGTGTGTAAAAAAAATGCTCGTCTCTGTTTTATTTATTGCGAAATTCAATATATTTGTGTTTCGTAACCACTACTTTTTTTCTTTATAACGTGTCACTGGGCTTGGAAGAGTATGATTTGCTTGTTTGAAAAACAAACGGAAGCAAATGAAACGGGAAGTCATTGTTACTTGCACACATTTGCTGCGATTTTTTTAATGCTACAGTGAAATGTTGTGTAACCGTCCATGTTTGTGTGTTTACAGAATCCTGGCCACGGTGGGCACAGACTTCGACCTGCGAACCCTGCGAGCAGTGAGAGTGCTAAGGCCCCTGAAACTGGTGTCAGGAATCCCCAGTATGTCACTCAAAATCATACAAATATTTACACAATACGTGCACCATGGAAGATTGAGCTTGTACGAACTGTTGATTACTTCTTTACTTTATTTCCAACAGATTTAAACTACTGTTGGAGTGTTGTCTTATTGGGAAGTTTGCAAGACAAAACTGAATAACACTCACTACTACATATTTAATGAAGCATGGGTCTAAATTTCACGCAGAGATTATTATTTTTTTTGCTCCATTAACATGTCTTAGTTCATAAACGATAAGAAAGACCCCATCAAACTTACTCTATCTGAAGATTGCTCCCAAATTCATCCAGAGTGAGCAAGTTAATGCGTCATTTTTAAATTGTATCATACAACTTGCCTTCATGTAAGAAATATCATTTTGATATTTATTAATTTAAAACATCACCCTTTTCTGGGTTCTCCTCTTAAAGGCTTATTTGTGTTTATTGCAACGTGTGTAGTTGGACCATTATGTCCATACAGTACAGTAGGTGTACTACAAGTTTATTGATAAGACATTGGAGTAGCATAATATCCCTCTAGTCAGACGATCAGAGTTTACAGGCCAACTTCTACCTAATTGGAGCAATGTTGTTGTGTTCCCAGATCTCAGCCTTTTTATGATTGAGTACAATGTTATAAATAATGTAGTGATAGACAAAACAACTCAAATTAGACCCAAGGTAGAATACACAGCCCCTCTAACTCCCCCCTCTCGCCCCTTTCCCTCGTCTTTCTGTCCCTCAGGTCTCCAGGTGGTGTTGAAGTCCATAATGAAAGCCATGGTTCCTCTGCTTCAGATCGGCCTGCTGCTTTTCTTCGCCATCCTCATGTTCGCCATCATCGGGGTGGAGTTTTACATGGGAAAATTCCACAGCACCTGCTTCAAAGATGGTGAGAGCCAAATCTTGAAGTAAACATGTTAATGCCAGGAGAAACTTTCAGCTGAAATATTTTTACGCACAAGAACAAATATTGCATTGCATATGGATGCAGGCGTACATAAATGATTCATAAGTCGTGTATGTATGTTTGTGTTCGGCTTAGGAGTGGCTGCACATTCACAGCGCTGGCAGGCAGCGTGTTTATATCAACAAACAATGTGCACAGCAGAATTTCTGACAGCCATATTTCACATCTTGATTTTGATGAATGGTATTTCAGAGTCTTCCGGTTTTGATTGATAGCTTCCACTGTATCTCGATATGAATTCTCATGCTCCCCGCCCCCTGATCGAACGCTACCTCAGACGCTGTCAATGAGGTTACAATCCACTAGTTCTGTATCCTACATCAGAAGGAAGTATGCGTACTGTAGAGTTTCAACTTTTGTTCACATTTTGAATGTGTTTTGATGTATTGGCAGCGGGAGAATTTACAAGACCATTACAAGGTTTAGTTCACACCTGTTTTGACAATCATTCATTTCAACAAAATCAAGAGCTAATAGGAAGTAAAGAAACAAGCAAACAGAAATCCAGTTTCAAATCAATTTCCACCAGAAATCTTTATTATCCAAGAATCAATTAATTATTCAACTCATTTCTTTCACAAACGAACAAACTTACAATCATGAGAGATAGTGGATATATGTGAAATAGGACAACCTGATAAGCCATCTGAAGCTCGAGAAAAAGGTCCCTAATACTACAACTGATATTAACATCATGTCAAAAATAGGAAGACAATCATGTGTATAGTTACATTTAAAACCTACAGAACACCTAAGACTAACCAGAGACCCCCAAAACTAGCTGACCTAGAGGAGGGAGGGGCAGAAAGAAAAAGCCTCACCCTTGTGTGTGAGTTAGCCTAGCAACAAAACCCATTTCTCATTGTCACAACCAGTTTACTATCGCAGTGGTATTATTATATGCAGCATTATAGTAATTATAGAGAACACAATCAGTGGGCTCGTATGAAATTACCCATTGTGTGAGGAAGTGATAAAAACTGCTGGTGTCAGAGAGAGTGTGAAAGGCGAGCCTGCAGGGCTATTGGCTGGCCCAGCTGTAAGTGTGGTGTGTGTGTGTGTGTGTGTGTGTGTGTGTGTGTGTGTGTGTGTGTGTGTGTGTGTGTGTGTGTGTGTGTGTGTGTGTGTGTGTGTGTGTGTGTGTGTGTGTGTGTGTGTGTGTGTGTGTGTGTGTGTGTGTGTGTGTCACAGCTTGCTAATGTACAGTACGTGTGTTATTTTAGTCCAGAAACACAGCAGGGTTTGATTAATCTGAGCAGGGCTGGTGACAACTTCTTACCATCAAGGCTCTTTTTTTCGTGTGTGTGTGTGCGCGCGCGCCGTATGTCTGAGCATGTTTGTGTTTTTTCAAGTGTGAATTCATTGGCTTCCCCTTCACTTGAGTGCAAGGTTATTGAGGAGCTTGGTTTGTTTGTCTTTTGGGGAATAGGAAATTGTTTCTTCTTCTGTTATTTTATCGGCTGAGGCTTTGCCAATGAAACAATAATTATGAATCTGGCTTCAACAATGAGGCATTGTCTCATCAAATGTGTGGTCCATTGTATGTATTTTGAAAAACTAATATCCACATGGTTGAAGCCAGAGTCAGGGAATTTCTGATATCTCTGTCTATTACTTAACAAATAATTTAAAAAAAGACATTAATTGTTTTATAAATCAGGCTGAATGATAACTGAACAAACCCCACTGTTAAAAACCCTCAGAATATATTAGGAGTGATATTCTATGGTGGTATGTCCTACTGGAGGGTCAGGCCGATTGTCGAACCTCAGATTGAGGAGGAACAATGCGGATTCCGTCCTGGTCGTGGAACGACGGATCAGCTTTTTACTCTCGCAAGGATCCTGGAGGGGGCCTGGGAGTACGCTCATCCAGTCTACATGTGTTTTGTAGACTTGGAGAAGGCGTATGACCGGGTTCCCAGGGAGTCACTGTGGGAGGTGCTGCGGGAGTATGGGGTGAGGGGGTCTCTACTCAGGGCCATCCAATCTCTGTACTCCCAAAGCGAGAGCTGTGTCCGGGTCCTCGGCAGTAAGTCGGACCCATTTCAGGTGAGGGTTGGCCTCCGCCAGGGCTGCGCTTTGTCACCAATCCTGTTTGTAATATACATGGATCGGATTTCGAGGCGTAGTCGTGGGGGAGGGGGTCTGCAGTTCGGTGGACTAAGGATTGCACCACTGCTTTTTGCAGATGATGTGGTTCTGATGGCTTCATCGGTCTGCGACCTTCAGCACTCACTGGATCGGTTCGCAACCGAGTGTGAAGCTAGGGCAAAAAGCAGTGTTGCCCACGCCATTTCTCTGACGTCATGGGCGAAGGGCGACGAGGCTAAGAGCGCTGGGTAGAGTTGCGAGGTGAGTGCGAGGTAACAAGGGCAGTGAGACTCTTGTTCTGGGGCTCTAGAACTTTGAGGAAACAGTGAACCCCATTCCTGAGTAAGGGATGAACCTCACCTGTCAGGTAACCAAAGGACGACTCTTGGTACCGGAGTCTAAACCTCCACGACTAGGA